AATAAGGTTTACCTAAATAACATTGACCAGATAGATGAAAAATCGCATATCAAGGTTCGGGTGCTTAAAATTTGGAACTTTGTCAGAAATAATAAAGTTTGTTCCATTGAAATGATCATCATGGATGAGGAGGTTTGTTGTATTTGATATATTTTTTATTCATCATTCAATATTAGACATGTTTCATGAACATAATAATTTTTAATTTTTTTTTAAACAGGGTACACAATACCAAGCTCGTGTCTTCAATCAGAATTTCTCCAGATTTCGTCATCTTTTAAAGGAAGATGAAAGTTATATAGTTATAAAACCCAATATGGCTGCTGTTACTAATGGTTTTAGTTATACAGGTCATAAACAGACCTTAACTTTGGATTGGAAAAGCATCCTAAAAAAATGTGATGATTTCTCGGGTCCGGTCAATGGATTTATGTTTGTTGACTTTAATTCTATCATAGAACAAACATGCCCAAAAGACACATTCTTTGGTTAGTCATAAAATATTAATAAAATCATTTTTTATCATTTGTTTTTTTGGTTATACATTTTATTATTTAAATATTACGAATTTAATCCTAAACTTTTATTTTTTTGTGGTATCTGTTGTGTAGATGTTATTGGACATATCGTGTCATTTAGGCCTCTTGAAACTTCAAATCCAGTACCATCCAAGCATTATATAAAAGTCACTCTTAGCAACCTAGAGTGAGATTATATTGTATTATTTATTTATTATTTATTATCTTTAATTAATCACAAATTAATATTAATATACTATTTTATGGTTTATTTAGTTCTGTACATCTGAAGGTTACTATTTTTGGAAGTCAAGCATATCAAATTTCAGAATACCTAAAAAATAACCCGACTGTTAATTTTGTTGTTATCGTGATGCAGTTTTTGAAGCTAAACATTTGGAATGGTTTGTATTCAGTCTTTATATATAGATGTTTATAATTACTGTTTTTATATAAATTTTAATAATTGGATATACATTTTTTACAGGTCTTGGTGAAGCTAAAAGTCATTTTGAAGTAACGAAATTGTTCATAAATTCTGACATTTATGAAATAAATGAGTTTAAAAATAAGTTAGTTTCCAATTGTTTTTTATTTTTTTATAATGTATTTTAACTTAAAAAAAACACAAAACCTAATATTCATGAATCTAAATTAAACATTACAGGTTGAAATGTCATGACAATTTCGGTATAACTGAAAAAAGCATAACTACACTTCAAAGCTACTCTTCTTCATATACAGATGACTTTAAGGGCAATTTTCCATTAAAAACAATCTGTGAGATCACCGAACCAATTAAGGTATATTGCATTATTTTATATGTTTTACATTTTATTTTTGCATAATTTATTTTAATAATTTTTACATTTGATATGATACAGGAAATGAAGTTTTTATTAGTTGCTTCCATTGTTAATATAAGGCAGAATCTACCATGGTATTATGAAGCATGCAAAAAATGTGGAAAAAAAATTATCCCTGTTCCCAAAACCAATCATTCGTATACCAACCCTGAGGGAATTTCAGAAACTATGGTTGTCGAGTGTACAAATGCACAATGCAAAAAATCTGAATTTCAGTCAGTTATAAAGTATAGACATATTTATTTCTATTAATTTTGTCAATCTTAAAACAACACTAACAATGACATAATTATTTTTTGTTTTAGGTATATAATTCCAATTAACGTACAAGATTGTACTGGAACCATTGGATTGACTCTTTTTGATAGGGAAGCAAGGAGGTTGTTAAATATAAGTGCCTACGAGTTGAAAAAGATACATGATGCGGTATATTATTCATACCTTTAAAATCAGAAAACATTTACTTAATTTTTTTAATTTATTAAAATATATCTTACAGGCCGGAGACAGTGATGCCCTATTTCCAATGCAACTTAACGTGTTGAAAAACCGCAAGTTTGGTTTTGTTGTAGATATTACAGAATACAATGTCAACAACTATAATAACATCTACACAGTTCTCAGAGTTACAGAAGATATGTCCATTGTTTGTGAATTGGAAAGTAAAATAGAACTTATGGTATGTAATTTTTTATTGTTGAAAATTTACAATTCTTTAATGTTAAAGTACATAACGATTAACATATTTCCATTTTATTTTTTAGAGTATTCAATCTGTCTCCTTAAATCAAGTTGCTTTGGAATCCGATGATGTTGTACAGCCTGTTCAAAAGGTTTTTCATTTTATTTTATAAACTTTTAATTATATTAGTTATTTTTTTTAGGAATCAAACATTTTTTTTTTAAATTAGGATGTGATCTCACAAACAGACGAAAGTTTTACACCCTCAACAGTTGATAAGTCAACCGCAACAAGTCCTTGCAAAATATCAGGTGATTTGAAGCGCAACCTCCAAGAAATTTATGATGTTGATTCTGGATATGATTTAAGTTCAACTAAGGCTAAAAGAAAGTCAACCGCAGAGGAAACTCCACTCTTGATTCCAAAAATTGAAAAGTGAGTTTCTATCGGTTATAAGACACATTTAATATATTTTGATCATTTGTTTTGGTTATAAAGATATTTTAATTGCTTGGTATGATTTTTATTTTGGGGTATTTAGGATGTCAAATATTATTGGTTTTGAATATTTTTGGATACTTTTATTGTTTTAAATTGGACAAGTTAGTTGATTTTGGTTATAACTCAAATAAAATATATTGCCCCTAACTTGATAAGTATTTCATATATCGCAATTAACAATTAAGACAAATCAATCAATCAATCAATTTGTATAATAAAAATGCGAAATTCTTAGCTTTCTTCCCCAATTCGCATTCTACTGTAAAATTCGCATTCTTCATTCACCCTCTTTCTTCGCATGTTCCAGTCATTTTTTTTTAGTTCATTCGCATTTGAGTTGTTTGTCTCACCAAATGCGAAATTAATATTAACCATAATCACCTTCGCATCTTTAACCCCAATCCATACAACCTCATATGCGAAACCCAATTTTGATTTGTATTACCAAATGCGAACATTTTTGCTTTTACACGTGAACTGCATTTGACTCCAATATTGAACAAATCACATTTCACAGTCCTTCTTGACTTCGCATTTTTCTTCACGAATCGTCCCTCAATCAATAACCCAATTAACCCAATTGCGAATCCAAAATCAAAACTTATCTGTTTTCATATGCGAACCCAACTGATTGGCTTTTCAAAATCAAATTCGCAACTCCAAATCGTTCGATTATTCGCCCCAATTCCAAAATCAAATAACAGATCCTTCGTATGATTCATTTAATAACCAAGGCTTCGTTCCAGAAAACATCGAATTTAACAGTTATTCGTTCCCACAATCTTTAACCTCCGTTTAAAATCGATCCCTGTATACAAACCCAATAACCAATCGAACACATACCATTCGAAAACAATAATCATTACACCCTTCAACAGATTTGACATCGCATTTCAAAACAATCGATCTTACTTCATCTGCTTGATATATCGCAATTAACAATTAAGACAAATCAATCAATCAATCAATTTGTATAATAAAAATATTGCTATATATGTAAAGACCATATTGCCCCTAACTTGATAAGTATTTGATATATCGCAGTTAACAATTAAGACAGATAAATAAATCAATCAATTTGTATAATAAAAATTCGAAATTCTTAGCTTTCTTCCCCAATTCGCATTCTACTGTAAAATTCACATTCTTCATTCACCCTCTTTCTTCGCATGTTCCAGTCATTTTTTTTTAGTTCATTCGCATTTGAGTTGTTTGTCTCACCAAATACGAAATGAATATTAACCATAATCACCTTCGCATCTTTAACCCCAATCCATACAACCTCATATGCGAAACCCAATTTTGATTTGTATTACCAAATGCGAACATTTTTGCTTTTACACGTGAACTGCATTTGACTCCAATATTGAACAAATCACATTTCACAGTCCTTCTTGACTTCGCATTTTTCTTCACGAATCTGTTCAAAAGGTTTTTCATTTTATTTTATAAACTTTTAATTATATTTGCTTGTAAAATTTTTTTAAATTTTTTCTTAATATTTTAAATTTTTGGCCGATATTGCATATGTGGTTATTATTGTTCAAATGTTAAAGCTATCTTGAGCTTGATACTTTGATACTTTTACAGGTGAAATTATATTGTGATTGAGGGTGCTTAATTTGTACTTTATCTAATTTGTATTAAAAAAAAATGAAAACTTTGTTGGTATTCTTCTTAAAGTAAAAAATAACTACTCAATAGTCAATACTACAACATTTTACTTTCATTGGTTTCCCTTTAACCAGTAAAAATCATTATTATGTAATTTTTTAGAATGGAACATTCCCTTTAACGGCTGTTTACTTAATAATTTTTTTCATCATATTGATGAATCCTACTTTTTTTCATTTGTTACCATTTAAATCTTATGGTTATACCATTGTACTTTAAAATATTTTTTGGTTTAATATTAATGGAACATTCCTTTAATGACAATGTACTTTCATTGGTTTCTATGTAACCTCTAAATATCATAAACTAGAGGGGGAGCCCCCGCGATGCGGAGGTCGGATGAAAACTTTTTGGTTTGTTGTTTTCTCTATGTTGAGGAGATAAAACAGATGCAAATGTGAATACATACATAATTGGTTTTTCTTATCTATATTTATGTTGAAGAGAGTTGCTAATGTGACAAAATTATCACTTTATGTTGAAAAGCAAAAGGTACGGTTTAGTACCTGACACAGAATAGACAATTTCCAGGAGAATAAAACTTCATAAACGTGCTTGACATGTGGTTTATTCTGTGTTTGCATTACATTTTATATATGGAATGACAAAATAGACCTAAACGATAGATTATATTTTTTAAAGGTGAATACAAGGCTTAACCATGCATCTGTTTATAAGCATAGTATCAAAAGAGAAAACGATTTAAAGAGACCATGGATAATAAGATGACAAAAGAGTTGGAGATTTTTTTGTTTTGTATCACTCCATATATGGCTGATCATCTTCTGGAAGTGTTTTGAGTAGTTTCCTGAGCTCCTGGATGGTCGTTTCAGTTTCCTTCTTTAGACTGTAAATCGCCATGATTCTTTTTGATGCCACGTACGTACTTTTGTTGATGACTTCCTTCATATCTAGGTAGTTGGTGTACTTTGGTCGACAACTCATGTTCTCCAGCACTTCGTTCTTCATCTCTTGGTTGAAGTAGTAATCGTTTTCGAGTTTTGTCAAAGCGTCCAGCTCTTCCTACCCCTGGCCAATCAGCATATGAATGATGCTTTCCATTTCAGCCGGTTTCATTTTGTGGGAGTGGTTTTGGCTTTTGGTTTTCCGATGGGTAGTTTGATTGGATGTGGGTTGTAGATGTTATGTGTTTGTGATTTATAAGAAGGTCGAAGCTGTAAACAGGTGTAGAGGGGTATTAAATGCGATGCGAAAGGGCGAAGGGTTCTTGGTGTGTGTAATCGGCTGCAATCGATTGGTATGTCCAATCGTTGTAGGTGATGTAAGCCTATTTAGGATTGACGTGAGTTTTTAGATGTAGGAATGCTGATGTTTATCCGGTACATAATCTAAATTTTTGTTAATTAAGAAATTTGAAAATAAGATAATGCACAATTTGATTATTGGAAAAATGGTCTAACTAATTTTTATATTATATTTATACAAAGCTGTTGTAATCGATGTCTTCTTTATAAACAGGAACCCATAAAATGACACCCTGTTCTTTTTTAACCTCTTCATGTTTTGCTATATTTAAAAGTGGAAGATGTAAGTTAAGTTTTAAAATGTAGTTACCATTTATGTAATCTAGATACAAGATTTAAAAAATTACATTTAATAGAAAGCAACTTCTATGTGTTGTGTTCTTATTGTTTATTATTTAGGATATTTATGTTGATTATTTTAAACATGGAACATTTATGTCTATTATTTAGAATAACTATTATTTTTGTCACGATAAATATGTTATTTTTAATAAATAATCAATAACCAATTGTAAACAAAATTTATATCTTTGATTCTCTAAAATTAATTCATACATTTTTGTAATGGTTGCAGCATATTTACTTATCTTCTGTAAATAACCTATATTCAACCAACTATTTCCTAATATTCTATACTCCCTTTTTAGATGAAATTTGAATATTAAACTAATTTTTAGTTGTAATCTTTTAAATTCCAAAAAATCAGGAAGAAAATTATATCTAATAAAGATCCAACAACAATAAAATCATATAATCGTAATCTTTTTTCAATATTCAAGCATATAACTTTACCTCAAAACGTGAAATCCAAAATTTTGAAACACCTCATTCGTCTTCTTAATGTTCAATTGTTTCTGCGATTTTTTTTCATTAAGCTTACATCAAACTGCTTCATTAAAGTTGTAATCCTCATTCCAGTTCTACCTGCAAGATTTCCATATCCATATGTCAGGTTAGTATTATCAGTTTAGATCACTTTGTTTTCTCTATGAATTTATGGTTGAAATTTACAACAATAATCAATATGCTGGAATAGATGTTTTTCTAATTGTAAAAAAATAATCTTGAATAGATACATAAGATCAATAAGCAATTTATAATCAGCACGATTATCGTGTATCACACAATTTTACCTTCATTGATTCCATGGAGATCTAGGGTTTTAACCCCTGATATCATCCGAACCCACGATTGGTTGAAATTGGGGAAACAGTAGATTTAAATCGAATAAACTCTAGGTTGGAAATGAGGATGATGAGTCATGATGCTCATCAGGGAAATAATTGATTGTGGAACAGCAAGAAGGAGAGTCTACCTTCGAATCGTATTTTTCAATCCTGACGGAGACCAATTCGGACGATTACACGGTATCGTAGATCTCCATGATTTTTTAGGTTGCCTTTCATGTGTTGTAGATTGCGATCGATTTAGGGGGAATCGAGGACAGTCATTGACTGCTGATCTTCGACGACCGTCTATGGAAGATTGGAGTCGTTGTATACAAACATTCAGACTTCTTTTGATGGAGTTATTTCTGCAACTACAACACAATCTTCCGCTTCAAATCTTATTTTCGGACACATATCTACAATCCGACTCATGTTAACTTTAATATCTTTATTTAAAGTCTCTTTTACACAATATAAACAAATATATTTTCTATTTTATACTGTTTCATATTTTTAAAATCTTCAATTTACTAATTTTTTTAAAATATATTATAAAAGAGTAAATTAATATTTGCAAATTTTGTTAAACATTTTAATAAACAAATTAATAAAGGTAACTTTTTAAATACATTTAATTTATTATCATTATTTATTTAATTCTAACTAACTTCAATTGTATTATATAAACATATTATGTACATAATTTCACATTTCATTTCCTAACCTATGTCTTCTTATGCAGAAAACAACAGTAACATGTACCACATGCAGGCCAAAGAGAAAAGAAGACAAAGAAAAATATATTTGGAAAATAAAAGATCGAAGAAAATAAAAACAATATCAAACGTTTCAAGTATATCATTACAGCATCTCTTCAAAAAAACCATTAACTATAACCGTATTAGTATTTTATATTCCATCTTTTACTGTTATATAGTTGAATACATATATTTACAAGTTTTATAAGTTATTTCTATTTGCAGATCAATCAACCAACATTGTTCGTCAAACTCAAAATATCAATTCATTTACAACACCTGCAAAGCATAACACAACCATACAATACTGTCCTTCCTTTACAGATGTTAGAACTCCATTTTCTAACATTACAAATGTTATAAATCCGTTATCTAACATTACGAATGGTAATTATTTACTGAGAAATATTGATCAGAAAAACGGCTTATGTAATGACACAAGACTACAGGTGTTATCATTGGGCAAACGTGTTATTGAGGCACGTATAATAACTGGAACTAATATTGGAAATCGGACTTTTATTCCAAGAATATCTTTAACTCCATCAGAAAAAAAGATTCCCTTCAAATTCACAAGAAGACAGTTTCCTTTGGCTGTATGTTTTGCAATGACTATTAACAAAAGTCAAGGACAATCGTTGTCAAAGGTTGGTCTGTTTCTGAAAGATCCAGTTTTTTCACATGGACAATTGTATGTTGCCTTATCTAGAGTTCAGAGTAGAGAGGGATTAAAATTATTAATTTTAGATAAAGATGGCAAACTCAGAAATAAAACTTCCAATGTTGTTTATAAGGAAGTTTTTCGAAATTTGTAGCCAACTTTTTTGTAACGTCGTTTTATTCAATTTTAGGAAATCACACTTAATCCATCATATTACTGTATTTTTTTATAATTACGTATTGTTGTATTTTATGTTAATTTCATTACACACATTGGTATTGTATCATCTGCATATGTCCAATTAGAATGATGAATAAAAAAAAATAGTTTTCAAAAATCTTCATTCCTAATTAAATACTTCCCATTTAGTTAGTAATTAAATAATTACCAATAAAAAAAATTATTTAAATATTCAATATTACAATTTATAAGTTATCAGAATTATTGATATAATATTTTATTAAATAATTAATTTTTAAATTCAATTCAAAAACAGCACCCGTGGATTCCACGGGTTTTAACCTAGTTTAACTAATAAACAAATATCCAAATATTGTCCACCTGACCCTATGGTTTTCTAAAATTACTTTTCTTGTCCTTTTCCAACTTGTTAAGTATTTTTTTCTAAACAAGTGTTTTTTGCTTTTATATATATATATATATAAAAGCAAAAAAAAAAACACTTATAAAACAAGAAAAAATTAAGAATATATATATATATATATATATATATATATATATATATATATATATATATATATATATATCACTACAATTAAAGTAACTTTTAGTGACCAATTTTTAGTGACGACCCAAAATATAGTCACTAAAAACATCTTTTAGTGACTATATATTAAGTGGTCACTGAATTTTGGTAGTGGTACAAATTTAGTGACCAAATCTTTGATAGTTGTCACTGAGTTGTCACTAAACCATAGAAAAAAAATTATTATTATTTAATTTCACAATAAATATTAGTGACTAAAAAAAATCGTCATTGAAATGACAATTAGTGACCAAAAAATAGTCGTCATTGAATTGTAGCCTTGGTTACCAAAAAAACAATGGTCATTAATTAAGTACCATGTGTTGTTCAAACTCATATATGGCAACGATGCTAGTACTCACCGAAAAGATAGTAACTACAAATGGTGGTCACTAGTTGACGGAAAGATTATGATCTTTTTACCTTTGAAAAATTATACTTTGTTTATTTGAAAACAATGTAAATTTATTACATAAATAGATTTTTCACTAAACATTTTTTAAAAAAATATAAAAAATATATCGGTAATTTACAAATAAATAGAAACAAATGTTACCAGCTATAACTTTTTTTTAGCGCATGATATTATTATACATTTACTATATCAGGTTTATAAAAATATTTGTTAAATTGATTTTTGTTAAAATGTTAAATAATATATTTATGTTATTATTAGGTTTAAAAAAATATTTATTAAATTAGTTTTAATGAAAAGTATATTAATATATAATGAAAAATCTAAACAAAATAAGAGTTTCATACGCATTTGCCCTAGATCGAAATCTACGCACTACCACCACCCTACAGTTTGGCACTTCCTCTTGTCGGCCCGTCGGCGTAACAGCGTTGCTCAAAATCTCTAAGCCGATGCACCTCCTTACGTCGGTATGGGAGTTTGGACCTAATCGCATCGCATTGCCGTTTGGAAGTAACCTAATCGCATCGCATATCTGTTTCGACCTAATTGCATCACATCACATCGTCATTTGGACCTAATCGAATATGCAGACACTGATACGTAGACCATAGTCATATCTCCATTCGTCTCTCCTCCATTTATCTCATCTACCGTTTTTGGTCATTGCGTTTCTGGTATCCCTCTCTCTCTCTCTCACACTCTCTATACATATATATATATATATATATATATATATATATATATATATATATATATATATCTCCTAATTTTGTGTATTTCTGTGATTCCGATTTTGTTAGGTTTAATTATGATTTTTTTTTTCTTTCTAATTGGCTGTGAATCTCTATGATTTGTCTTTTGACAGTGAGTTTATTTGTTCTATGTTAGCTTCTTTTGTAATTTATTCTTCAATCAGATATGGAAATCTAGTGTAAATGCTTCCAAGTTCATTTTGATCTTAAGAATGCCACTAATTTTGACTTCACCTACAGTATCCTAGATCAGCAAAGCAAATAAAGATTTACTCATTTTCTTTAGGATTTTGCAAACAAAATCAGTTAGACATGCTCTTGATGGACAATCACTTTTGTTTAGCAACAGATGAGCAGACTATATGCATTTGCAACTCTGTATCCAATTAAGAACGTGATTTGTTTATATCACATAGAAAAGCTCAAACTGTTATGATTTGGGTAACAAAAATTCCCAATTTTGGTATAAATGAAAATCATATTCTCTTGCAAAATATCATTTTAATTGAATACATTACCTATGTATTTATTTCTAAACATTGTAAACTAAACTGTTTCTGGAAATCTCTTTTGGTGGTTGCTGTTGTCCTAACTTTGTTTGTTATATTATTTATGTGAAGTGATGCTTTTACAGATTATGCTATTAACATCTTATTATTCCGAAAACTCCTGTTTCCTCTCAGTTTAGACCAATATAACTTGAAATTATCTAGAGTGATGCCTTTTTTTCAACTTTAGATTAACTTATTCCTTAATTTAACAACCCCGCCTGAGTTTTATATACCACTTTCATTATACATTTATGTTATTTTCAGGATTTTTTCTTTTACCATAGCATATGAAAAAGTCTTGAATGAATATAGTTCATAGGACAAAGGACCCAAGATGATTTTCATTTATACCAAAACTGGGAATTAGAAGCCCTCCAAAGATTAATGGATGAATCGCACCAGGAGCTTTTTGAAGGGTATCAAATGAAGACCATGGTTTGAACCCATAAGCATTTTTCGTACCTATATAGTTCATCGTTGCGCTCGATTATGTTTCTTTTGGAAGCTATGGTTTTGTTTCAGATTGAAATGAAGACCAAGAGTTTAACCTGTAAGCATCTTCCATTTATATCATTTTTTATTTGAATCTATTTTTCCTTTGATTTCGCATGTTTGAATTTCTATTTTTTGCTTAGGAGACGCTGAAGTAAAATAGATAAGGTAAACTCTTGGAAGGTAAAAGTATTTTATGTTTGATTGAATTTTATGACTTTGTTTATTCTCATTAATTGGAGAAAATTTACAGGAAAAACCAAAAAAATTCTTTTCCAGAAAACTCACAAGAAAGCAAAGGACATGCCAAGAGTGGGAAATTTGACCAAGTAGAATGTTGTTGGCTGGAAACTCAACAAGAAAGCAAAGGACATGCCAAGAGATTTTTGAAGTTTAAGAAGGTAATAATTATGAAATTTACTACAAATGTACTTATGGGGACATCATTAAAGTAGAGCAAAAACTATACATTCTATGTACTTATAATATAAAAAAGGGAAGATGCAATAAATAGCAACACACATTTGTTTATTTGTGTATTATAGCATCTAGCTTCCATTTCTTTTTTTATAACAGCGTTGTACTTTCAACCTTTTAAAAAGTACATTGTTG